TATATGTTATTTAATACACAAACTTACAAAATGAGCAGTTTAGGGGAGATATGAAATTGCAATAAATGGCTAAGTATTTGTGACACACCGTAAGCACACTCAGCTACAAGCGTTAGGTGCGACACATCAAGTGTTACACAACATCTCTCGGCTACAAGTTTTATAAGTCATACCAACCCCTTATTTTTTATTGCGCTAGATAGATCGTTTCCTAATTTAACAACGCAACAAGAATTACACGAAACCATTGATCAAAGATGCAACGTACTCCCTCCGTCACTAAAAAAACCTAATCCTATGTTTGACCTAGAAATACACTATGTCCTAGGAATTTTTTTTGACTGAGGGAGTAGTGACCATAAAAACAAACACCGACTAATTGTTACTACCTCTATTTTAATATATGACGTTGTTAACTTTTTAATAGACGTTTGATCATCCGTTTTATTCAAATTTTTGTGCAAATATAAAAAAATTAAGTTATGCTTAAGAAATATTTGATGATAAATCAAGTCACAATAAAATAAATGATAATTACACACACACATATATATATATATAAGGTAAATTAACTGGTGCTACATGGAGTATGGGCTCCAAGATTCAAATTGAGTATATACCCAATTTGAATGAGTATGTATATATATATGTATATATATACATATATATGTATGTATATGTATACATATATATGTTATATATGTATACATATATACATACATATATATATATATATATATGTGTGTGTGTGTGTATATACATACATACAGGATACCCATATGGGACTCCATGGTGCCCGGGCTCCAAGGTATAAAACACACAAATTCTCTCAAATTTTTAAAAATTTACAAATTGTGACTATATACCTAGGTATATGAATTTGATTCATACAAATGCCTAACAACAAAACAACTCAAACTCAACTTTATTTCACAATTCATTATTACATACCTAACGAATTATATGTTTGGATGTTATATACCTAGAACCAAAATCTAACAAAAAAAAGTTCAAATTTGTTTGAACTTGTTAGTAAAGAAGTTAATGTTCATATCTAAACATTTAAAAAAATTTCATACTCATTCAAATTGGGTATATACCCAATTTGAATCTTGGAGCCCATACTCCATGTAGCACCAGTTAATTTACCCATATATATATATATATATATATATATATATATATATATATATATATATATATATAGAGAGAGAGAGAGAGAGACATACATACATACATACATACATACATACATACATATATATACATATATATACATACATATACATATACATATATATATACATATATATATATATATATATATATATAAAAGACGAATGGTGAAAAATATCTCAAAAAGTCAACGGCGTCATAATTAAAAAAACATAGGGAGTATGTTAGACCATAAAAACCCCCATTTATTTATTATTAAGATATAGATTATACCTCGGTTTCTATTGGCATACTTTTCAAACTATTAAATAAAAAAATTTATGTGAAAACTTGAGTTGCTTTAAAATATTAGATAAATCTAATTTTTAAGTTTATAATAATTAAAATCCAATCAATTATGTTCTACGGAGTAATATTTTTTCCGTGTTATACCTTTATCTTTATTTTTGTTTTTAAGTATAAACGGACACTAGACGGTACATTAGGTTTCTATCGGATGGCCTAATCAGCCAAAGAAAAAAAACCAAAATTTAAATTTTCAAACTTAATTTTGAGATTGATTTTGAGATATTTTCAACATTAGTTTTTAAGTCACGAAGAACACATATATAAAAGTTTTACCTACAAATTTATTTTTATTCCCTAATAAGCCGTTTTGGTTTATTAGGAAAAAAGCCAAACGATGGGGACCTTACTTCCTGTTTGGAAAGAAAACATGATAGGGAGCAGCTCGATTTAATTTAAAATAAAATGGTAGCACCAAAAACAATGTTGTACACGTAAGACACTACTATCTCGTAGTATTCTCGTCACTTGTACACACTCTACGTACTCTCTCTGGTTCTATAATAATTAACGTTTTGGACAAGGTTGAGGTCAAACTTTTATAACTTTAATAATCAATAACTTTAAAAATATTTAGTTTAAAGAAATTATGACAACATATATAGATTTGTCTTTCAAAGCACTATAATAAAAGTAAACATACATTTATTTATTGTGTATATTATAATAGGAAAATAAGGTCAATGATATATTTTGTAGACCGTGTCATTGTCCAAAACGTTAATTAAAATGAAACCGGAGAGAGTACATATTTTTCTCCCTTTTTTTTCACAGCCAGTTAGCACAAAGTGAGTCAGTCAGTGACACAGATCAGCTACCTTAACCATCGCTGTTAGGTAAAAAAAAGGTAAACGGAAAATCTGCCACGTCGGCACCGTTACCATCACAGAGAGTCCAACCGTCTCAACCACCTCTTGGCACTAGGCGAAGATGACATCCTTGTCAAAAATAATAAATAAAATGAAATGAAACTGCCCTCTGAGCGCTGGGGCCCACTGTCAGTGTGACGGTGGAGTCCACGCGTCCTGTCAACGTGGCGTGTCAGCCTATGCTGCGTCTCCGAATAATCTTTTTTTTTAATTATCTCAAGCGAAGAAATGATAATGATAATAATGAATAAAAATAAAAGTAGTCAACTGAAGTGAAGAGGAACCGGATGCTACTACTGCTAGTAGTCGGCCACGTTACAGAAACCCCCTCCTTGTCCTACAAATTTACAGAGCGGCGGAGACTGAAGCGAGAGCAAAGCTGGTCAGTTTGGGGAACTTTAAAATTTTGAGATGTAGCTGGTTGGTAGCTTCTTAGAACCTGGAAAAACTGGGTTTCTCATATTCTGGTTTCCAATTTTTTTTCTGAATTCCACCGCCACAGTTTATTAGAATTTAGACCGAAAGCTTAACTATCTAGGAGAGTTTCTGATTCTGGGAGAACCTGTAGTAGCTAGAAGATCCCTTAAGAGCACCCTAATCTCACAAAATTTGTGTGGTAGATTCATCTGCTCTGTTCTGGGTGAGTTCGAGGAGAAGGTGATTAAGGAGATTGAGAAATACGTACAACGAGACGAGTTATTAGCTCATAATTAATTGAGTATCGATTATTTTAAATTTTAAAAATAGATTAATATGATTTTTTAAAGCAACTTTCCTATAAAAAATTTTTTATCAAAAACACACCGTTTAGTAGTTTGGGAAGCGTGCGCGTGGTGAACGAGGTGTTTTCTCCCTCGATGTTACCCGAACGAACGCAGAGCTTGGCATGTCAATCTCGTCTTCTTGGGCGATTTTTCTTGTGATGTTTTGTATTGATTTCTCAACTTGGCCGTGGTCAATTAAGTTGTGGGTTTGGTTGAGAAGAAACTTCCCCTTCTGATTAGTTGCGCAATTTCGTTGGAGTTTGTTTGGAAAATATAGGTTTGGATCACTGTCACCGCGATTGAATCGAGCAAATGTGGTCTTTGGTTTGGTTTGGTTTGGTTTGTTTTGGACCATTTATTGACAATAATTTATGCCTCTAAAGTTTAAAGTCAGTTCAACAGACCAACGGCTAACAAGTTGTTGTTTCCAAGTTTTTGGAGTTTAGTTCAGTTTGCTTTGCAACTTTTGTTTTTCTCGGTCAATATCATGATGTACGATGAGCAGTTTACTGCAGGGCACTAGATTGTCCGTGGGGTTTTTGTACGATGCCACTGTGAGTGCACTAATGTTCTGAAACAGTATCCTATGTAACTATGTGCTCCCTTCATCTTATAAAGACTTTGTTTTTTCTTTCTTCATATATTCCAAAACAAAAACTTCCTCTTTAAGATAATCAATGGGCCTGTTCGGCCGGCATTTTCTACAGCTCCATGGCATCTAGCTGCAGTAGCAAGCAGCACAACTGCAGCCGCACAAAACAAGCGTTGTAGCTGTAATGATTCCGCAGGAATGGCTACCGAACGTGCACCAATTTACTGGAGTGTTTAAGAAAGTAAGGAACAAATACATTGAAGTTAGAAAAAGTACGAGACAAATGCATTTTCATGGTGCCATGCGATTGAAAATATCATAACCATAGATTTTACCTCGATTTTCATTAACATGTTTTTTTAAACAGCTAAACAGTATTTTTCGTGCTAAAAATTTCTATGCAAAAGTTGTTTTAAAGTATCAAATAGATTTACTTTCCAAGTTTGTAATAACTAAAACTCAATTAATATGCACTAATGACATTTTATTTTACGTATCCTAACTTCTCCTTCATCTTCATTAGATTACACATACATGTAGTAAGTAAGCTACAAACTGAATATCATAATTCACATACAAATAGTGAACCAAAAGCGGATGAAATGTCCAGTGCCTATGAAGTGGGCGTAACTTAACTGGTTAGGTTTTTTTAATCAAACTGGCCTACCAAGCTAAAGTACTACAATTGACATGGGCGCTCGTATTAACGAGACGTCTATGGCGACTTCGTGAATCCTCATAGGGCGGGATATGAGTGAGCATGCATTTATAGAGATGAGTGTTCACGCGTTGTGAGCGTCTACATGTAGCATGTTTTTTTTTTAAAAAAAACAATGATACATCACGAGAGGATTCCAATTTAACTCGTCTAATTTTCCAAGCCCTTGATTTGGAACGTGGATTTTCCTCCCCAAATAAACATTGTTATTGTAAAACAATTCAATACTATTTGTTTATTGCAAAATACGGGCTTTTTCAAATTAGTGTTCTTATTAATACCTACAACTCTTGGTCACTCACTCTCGCACATTTCAAGTACTACCAACCACCACTGCCAGGGAAGACCACACAAACTGTACTGCAGAATCCAATGTGAAAGCGGCAATTGGGAAGCGAATCCCAAACCCTCGGCAGCCAAAATTTTGCTCATCATCCTCTCCAGTTTTGCAGAAACACCCCTACAAAACCCCTAAAATACCCCCCTCACCCCTCCAGCCATCGTCCACTTCTCCTCTTGGACTTCCCACTCTCCTCCTCGTCTCCTCCCTCTCTCCCTCTCTCTCTCTCTCTCTCTCTCTCTCTCTCTCTCTCTCTCCTCCCCGTCGCGGCGGCGGCGGCGGCGACCGGCGAGGGCGACGCCACCGATCGGGGGCCTCTCACCCGCTCCCCTCCCTCACTCACCGGGGCCTCGGTTTCGCCAGCTCGGAGGGAGTTCTTTCTCTCTCTCCGTAGACGTCTCCGTGGGTTCTTGCTTGTCTCTGATTCTTCTTGTGGATTGGCGGTGGAGGAGCGGGGATCGATCGATCTACCCCTGGACTCGGATTGACTCTCCTCTCTCGCTGGTGATGGGTCCTGACTCGCTCTCGGTTCTTTGTGTTAAGAGGGGGGGTTTTGCTCTGGTGTTTTCTTTCTCTTTGCTTTGATGAGTGATTTACTAGGCTGATTTTACTTTCCTGGATGGATAATCCAGTTCATTCAATTTGTTAAGATTTTTTTTCTTCTTTTTGGTGATTTTGGTTTTTGCAGAATTTGATTGGGGGTTTCTACCCAAATAACAGCTTGTTTATACCTTTTATGTATGGCTCTGCTCGAAGAGAACTTGGGGATGGTTTCTTGATTGGAAACACGAATTCGAGCTTTATTGCAAGAAAATAGATGTTCTTTTCAGTTAATGATTTATGGTACGAAATATATTTCCCCGACAGTTTGACTGTAAAACCCATCATGGAAAACATCATAACAAGTAGCAATCAAGCCATAATAGCTGTGAAAGATGTATGTTCTGTGTGAATTTAATGCAGTGTCCGTTGAATTCTAGCTTAAGAGGTTATAGCTTGAGCTTGGACTGCTGATATATGCATAATTTAGCATTTCTGTCACAGAATTCGCACTAGGATGAAACTGTCACTGCATCAAAGGTCCCGAGGGTAACGCAGTAAAGTTCCTTGAGATAAAGAAATTTACGTGGGTTGGCAATGGAATTCGTATTTGTTTCATTATTGTTTTGGAGTATAGCTTTCAGAGCTCCATAGTGGAGCACTTTGCACACAAGTGCTTCTGGTGTATAAATATAATAACTGGGAAAGTAGGCCTTTGTTGGATTGAATCTTGTGATGTTTGGGATATAATATCCACACTTCCCATATTGGCCAGTGCTTATTTGTGCCTGGTATGTACTTATTGTATCTGTAGAAGAATGGGTTATGTGTCTATGAGGAGTATTTGCTTGTGTTACATACAATCCATTGCTTCATCTAGGACCGTTTGAACAGTTCAAACGAACACATTGTGGTTAAGGCCCAAGTAGTACATGTAACTTTCTAGTTTTGCATGCCTTAGATGCAGGGAATAACGCTTGCAACTCCATATCTTATTAATTTATTAACTGAAAAACTGGTCAAGTTACATTGTAGATTGTTCTGAACCATACTGAGATATTATAATTATAATATATATAATAGCACATGGATTAACTTGTTTTATATGATAGTCTACTATATGTAATGCCCGGAAATGGTGGTTTAGTTCTTGAGAGTTGAGATATTTTAAACAAGCTGTATTAGAAGAAAATATGTAGTCTCTCAGCAGCCAGCACCTAGTGAAAGATACTGCTCATGTTAAGCTACCTGCACAATTTTACTGGTACCTTTTGTGATGTCAGTTATGCATATGCTATGTTTTCTAGTTCACTGCACGATTTCCTGTTCTTTCTTGCTTCAACATAGGCTTGTTCATTTTGTAGGGCTATGAGAGACGGAATTTTAGTTTTAAACGGCAGCTATTTCATAGCCTGGAGTAAGCTTTTTCATTCAGGATAGCATGGGGGGCTGCTGTTGCTGTTCATCAAGAGGATCTGAGACAGATAGAGCACCAGTTCATATCTATGTATGTAGATCCTGAATTATCTTAGATACATTATCTTAATTCAAATGTTCTATTATTACCAAGAGCCACACTCCTGGAGTTGATCGTCAAGGACCTTTTTTACCCACTTTGGATGGCAGGCTACTAATAGGATTCATGCCTAATATGCTTTTACTTAGTGCATCATGCTTTATGTGCTTCTATTTACTGCATGCTTTGCTTATTCTCATGGGGGTTTCCATCCCTTATTGAGACTGTTTCTTAAAACTCAAACTTGATGGTTGTGTGCATCCTAGATGCAGAGACTGGGGATGTAACCATCTTCCTTATCTAAAAAAAAAAGAGAAAAACTTGTGCGACATTATGCAGTACCATGCAACCTGAAATTAATCTTAGGTATATCTAACATCTGTTCTACTTTTCCAGTAGAAAGGTATACCTGAAAGTGGTAGTTTTTTTCTTGTTCTTGTCATTAACTGCAGTTTAGTGTTGGTGCATTTCGTTAACACCAAATCGATCCATTTCAAGATTTTGACATATTTCTAATTTTATATTTTGGTTTCTCTATGCTTCTGCCTATTAATACGTGATTTAGTTATCTATCATCTGTCATATGAGAGTGGCCCAGATTGTGCTTCTGTTACTTGCACATATTAATAACATCGTGGTGCTAGGAGTTTACAGATAACTTTGTAGTTTCAGTGCAACAGGAGAATTTATTTCTCTTTTAGTGTGACTCTCCAATTTGAGTATTCACTTGAGATTCAGCAATATCAAGTTGAAAACTCTAGAAAGTGTGCAGCTTGTTTAAGCTTTAAACAAGTGTAGCCAGTTAATTGATAATATAACTTGGTATTTGTACTGTTTGCATTGTCCAACGCTTTATTTGGCTTATGTTATTTGGCTTTTCTTTGTTCAGCGTCAGCAAAATCAAGAGGAGCATGAACCATTGTCTTCAGCCTATGATGGATCATCTCCAGCTTCTGCTATAGTTGCTGTTGACACAAATCTGGATACATCCACTCCTGATACTTACCGAGCACCACCTGCACCATTGCCTTATGATGTTAGTTTGCCAGTCCCAGAAAACCCTGGTAAACTAACTACCTTTGAGCCTGTGAACATGAGGAATGGAATTAACCTCAAATGGTAGTGGTGGAAGCTTATAGTTTCAAATTCATTTTCAGATTTGGAGAAGTCAGACCTGAAGAGCAAAACCGATGACCAACAGGAGGAATCTTTAGAGGTGGATGAGTTCAAATCATGTGAAAAATGTGTCGCTGAAGATAAGCCTGATGAGGAGGATGTTTGCCCAATCTGTCTTGAAGGTTGTATTTCTTTTGACCATTGAAAACCCGATTCCTTAGATTGCCATAATAATAACTGGATATTTGTTTGAGTACAAACTTTACCTGGTTGAATGTAGAATTGGATACACGTGTTCTGCCTGCTGTAGTGCTATTTTACTACTGTCACAGTAAAACTGGTAAAAGTACACTGTATGTTTGATCCGTTTGTTTTTAGCTGAAAGAAACTATTCTTAATTTCGGAAATAATGGTTTAGGATATCTTACCTATAATTTACCAATTAAAGGATTGCTTGTGCTCCTTTTATTTACCTTCAATAGATGTAATATGTATGCACATCCTTAATGGATGTATATGGCCATGCTGCATATGAAATAAGCCTTAAGAAGTGTTGTGCTTAATATGCAACCAATCTTAGATAGTTGCTTCTCAAAGAGATGAAGGGTTCCAATTGTGTATATTCTTTTTTCTCAATTGGTACATACCCTTTTGTTGATTCCTAGGTGCAATATTGGGTAACAATGTGCATTGTACTTGCACTCCATTAACATTTATTGATACTCTAAATCTTATTTGCTTATTTTCTTACGGACCACAAAACTCCAGTCATGACTTCTGTTTGTCCTTTCACCAGAATATGATGCAGAAAATCCTCGCTCTTTAACTAAATGTGAGCATCATTTCCATCTTTGTTGCATACTTGAATGGATGGAGCGAAGTGATACCTGCCCAGTTTGTGACCAGGTTAGTTAACGAAAGCCAATTTATCATAGTTTATAATTTTATATTTGTTGCTATTGTACCACATGGATGTATTTTATGTTATCATTTCAGTATGTTGTATTCTTTTTAATGTTGCATCACACAGTGAGAAGATCTATGTTTTAAAGAAATTACTATAATTTCATCTTCCCATATGGTTATCCTTAGTGAAAACTGTGGAATAAATCCATCTAAGAACCACCACTTGATAATATCAATATGAATGAAAACAGATGGGCTCTGGTCTGTGAGATTTTCCCTCATGTTTGTTCCTGATATTTCTGTTAATCTAAAGCTTCATTTTGGAAGAAGTTTGTGTAAATAGCGTGGATTCCACCAAAATTAATCACGCAAGTTTGCAAACATTCTTCAGACTTCATAAAGAACTGCTAATTTTCACCCAACATGGATTCTATTTTACCTGATTTCTCTCAATTTTGGATACTTATATTTTTGTGCACGGAATATGTACCAGGACAATACCTTCTTTGCTGAAAGCTTCCTTATCTTATGTTGCAGATTACTTTGATAGATGATATGTATGAATAGCATTGGAGCATGGGACTATTATGTTTGGTTTGATGCTAGTTTGTTTTAATGAGGAAGTACAGTCAGCAAAGCTCCTGATCTATCAACCTGGTCAGACGGGGGTGCTATTGGAATGAATTTTGAGAAAACTAAGGGAAAATAATTGAAGACGGGAATGGCTTGAAATTTGTTAAATATCATCTCAGCTTTTTACATTTTGTTTGAAGCATTAACTGTTCATGACAACAGGAGGATTTGTTAGTATCCATATCTACTGCTGGTTCGATTGCTTCACAGTTGATGAAACCCCCAGATGAGCTATCTGTTTCTTTGTAGTTTTGAACTTGGGATGTCTTCCATTTCATTTCTGGTTGCGGTTAGCGTCTGTATAAATCATGACACGTTAGATAGGTGACAGGGAAAAAAAACTTTATTCTAATTTATGTTCAACGATCAAAGCTGTACAAGCTTCATGTATATCCTTCGCCTTTTGATTAGTCAGGGACTATTAAGTCCCCTGTTGTGAAACAAGTTGGCTGATTTATGTAAAATGGTATACATTTGCCTGCTTTATAATCTCGGCATCTTTTTTGGGTTCAGCTAATGTTTCCTGTTAAAATAACGGTTCTCAAGGGTGGTATTAAGTATTAATAATGCTTATATGATTATTAAATTTCCTTACGGGATGAGATTTTTCCTCTATAATTCTTTGCTCGGAATTACAGAATTTATATCAGGAAATTCTATCAATAAGTCTTCACGTGTACACACCATAGACACCAATTAATAAATATCACAGAAAGTTATATGAAAATGCATACATAAACAGTATTAATATTATATCTATATGTAAAATATCATCTTCAAATTCATTATACATTATACGTAGAGAGAAAAAAAATATTATGATAGATTTATAGATGTAAAACTTTTTTTTATTTTCTTACGGCTGAATTTATTTAAGACTTTATTATATATAAGTGTAACACTATGAAAGTACATGCACAATTTCATTTTTTTTAGAATTATTGGCTTATTACAGTCAGATTTGTTAATATCTTATATACTCTGAAACTCATTCTGTCTCATGCCATCAAACCAGTTCCGAGTGCGGAGTTGTCAACTGTGTTACTACCTCCGTTCTAAAATATAATAACTTTTAGCCCTTAGGATTTCTCCCAAAATATAACAACTTCTATACGAACATTCTCTTCTCAACCAATCACAAGTCTCCATCATTCACTTTCCCCACATGCATCCACTACTCATCTAATCACAACCCTTCACCACTCACTTATACCTACTTTCTTAATAACCGTGTCCAACTCTAAAACTTCTTATATTTTGGGACGGAGAGAGTAGTTATTTTTAACACAATACCTTGTTTTAAAATGAAGCTATTTCTTCACCTACCTCATCTCTCAACCAATCACAATCATTCTCCTTCGTCTATTTTCTCTTCTCAATCAATCACACACTTCGTCTAATCATTCTCACATGTTTTTCTTAATAACCATGTTAACCTAAAAATTATTTACATTATAGGACGGGGGAAGTATTTTTCTTGGATCAATGTACAGTTTCGTGATAAAAGCTAAGGTTAAAATGCAGTCATATCATATTTGTACCGTAATTACATGTCACTTACTCCCTCCGTCCTATAAAAAAGAATTTATTACCAGATGTGATATACATATGTCCAGATTTATAGTACAAGGATATGTCACATTGGTATTAGTTTGATTTTTTATAGGACAACGGGAGTACATATTAGTTACGGTGCCGTTATAAATGTAGTTTTGTGTGCGTGTAAATTTATATATTTATCTTTTGGTGCGGATAAGCCTGGCCTGGTAGCTTTCGTTGTCAGCTATGCAGCTAGTAGTAATGCTATAAGTTCAGTCTCAAATTGTTCTATCAGTAATAGGGTTTTGTTTTGCGTGTTACATTTGTTTTGTAATCGTGCCATCAAAAACAAAAATCCTGGTTTTGGGCTGAAATTGTGCCGACGGTTGTATGCTTATTTGCTTCATGTTTTTCTTTTAAGTCAGATTCAGCTACAGATAACGTTGGATGATTTGTATTTTCCTGGGAGTACCTATGCATCTTTCGAAAGATTTGTATGATCGTATCACACATATTTTTAATTTTTAGATTAAAATCCGATAAACACAGTAAAAGGCAAAAAGCAACTAAAAAACACCATAATGGACACTAAATTACCATATCTTTAAGAAAAAGACCAAATCCAATACAAATTTCAAAACTTACATACGAAGATTAAAAAATTACATTGTAACTTACAAAAGTTATAATGTAAGTTTCATAAATTACACTATAACTTACAAGAAAATGCACTGTAAATTTGAGTGAGAAAATCGAGTGAGATATAAGAAAAAATCTTTCGAGTGAGATATAGCAAAATCGATTTTCCTTTTGTTTGCTCCAAAAGTCTTGGTCCATTAGCCAGATGGAATATGGGCTTTCTATGAAAAAACTTTGGTGGATTGGTTAAATGGTGTATGACGAGAGGTTTTGTAGGTGGGTGTAACAAATGTAACAAATGTGAAAGTTATAAATACTTTAAAGTTTACGACATGATTGGATCAAACTTAAACTTTGACCATCAATAATTACCCATAATTCTAGGGAAAATTGTAAGTTCATAAAATTAAAAAAAAAGTCAATGATATCACGACAGCACTTTTTAAAGCAGATTATATGTCTATTCTTTTGTACCAAGACCTTGACAAATTATTGACTAAATTTTACCCTAAATGTCAAATACTTTGGTATAACCGTGGAACAAGCAAGCACACGTCATGGACTCATGGTTGAGCTGCCTGTAGCTGTCATGGGATCTGAAGAGAAAAAAATTGAACGTGTGAGTTGCACATGTAGGGAAAAAAAAGTTGATTTCCTGCTCACAAGAATGGAACGTCCAGTCTGCGCACTAGGTTCTTGGGTCTTAGATGACACGTATGAACTGGGTGATCCAACAAGGTCTCTAAAATTAGGTGTTTTTATTTTTAGTCAATGCTAATGTGTTCCAATATATTTAGGACTGTTTTTAAGAAGTTCTGAAGACCTATTTCATTTTTAAAGAGTTCCGTTCTTTCTCCACGAGAAAAGGGGCTTTTTTCATAGCCCTGATAAACATTGTGCCCCTCCAGACCATGACTTGAAATGTGTGAAAAAAAAGTGTACCTGACACACTTCCAGTGGACTACCAAGATCTGCTTGAAAATTTATACCAGAAAACACCCCACTGGGGCATCACCGTACCTCCACTCTCTATTTCCATCTCCCCTACAACAGGGGGTGGGTGGTCCCAGATCGACCATTGATGATGTGAGTAGATCTGATATCTGCGTCGGCAACAAGCAGTGCTTACCCGTTGGCCATGCCTTCGTTGGAGTCGCCTCGACCATCACCTCCACTGTCTCTATCCTCTGTCTCTCCCATCTAGCCTCTCTCGCTAATGTCGGGTCAGCAAGGCGGATGCGCCCGCCCCAACCTTAAAATTTTTTCCTAAGATTTAACTATGATTAATTTTTTTACTCTTTATTGAACCATGACTATTTTTTTACTCTTAGATTTAACCATAAATAATCTTTTTTATTTAGAGAGGAAAGGAAAGAAAGAAGAGTGAGTGAAAGCTAGTGACTAAAACCACAATTTAATCGTCAAGCGGGCTTTGTTTAAATGAGAGATGGCCGAAAATTTTACAATTAACCCTTTTCAAAACTATTTTCGAAATAGGTCCCTGTTAAAAACTATTAAAAAAAATGGACCCTAGCCCTAATGTTGACCTCTAACACGTCAGCGCCATACGCCTTGGCATTGAGATTGTGACGGCCTCACATGCCGTCGAGCGGGAGGCTGGGCCCATAGGCTGACGTGGCAAAGGTCGTCACCGAGACGGTTGGCATTGACCAACCTTAGCGCCATGCGGCGGAGCCACCCCAGGCCATCTCTTTGTTACTCCTCGCCTTTTCCCTGGCTTGGCGGCATGGGGATCGCTCTTTCTCCTCCCTCCAAAATTCGAGCAAAATTTTATAAAATCTCCTCCGATCCTATCATATTTTGAAGATGATCCAAAATAAAACTTTACCACTAAAAAGTGATGAAAATTAAAATTCACCATTCGAAAACTTATTATATTTTGTCCCCGGCCTAAGGTAAAAAAAAAAAAGTACCCGGTCAATCGGGCTGGCAAGCGCGCTTTGTCTTCCGCCTATCATAGCCACACGGGGCACAGGCCACCTCGCCCAAATTGCGTCGCTGCCGTCCGACCAGCCGCCACTCCCACCCCTCGGCGGCGGCCGCACCGGCCACCGGCCACCACGGAGGATGGTTCACAGGGAAAGCGCTCTGATGGTCCGGTGGCCGGTGGCGTAGCGCCCACCCCCATCCCACACTACCGCGCGCGCGTTCCTGCCTGAACGCACGCAAGGTGCTCGACGAAATGCTCGGCTACATTGTCCGCTTCCTGGACAGGCTAACGAAGCGGAAGCATGGCGCGTGTCGCGTTTCGGGCCTAGGGCCGGAGATATGCGGGTACATGCGAAGGGAGCAGAGCTGCTTTGTCTGCGTGACCATGGCCCAGTCGGCAATTCAGTGAACCACGAAAGGTAGCCTGCCTTGGCTGCCCTGCCCACTTGCGACTTGTGTCTTTTGTCTCGTTTCTTGGTGCAGCTGGGTCTCTCGAGGATGCAGGATGGTGTTTTGGACGGATTGGCCTTGTGCCGTGCTGCTACAGTACGTGTGATCTATGTCCATCGTGTTGGGTAATGAGTAGGCTGTGTTAATGTGGACTGTTTGTGTGTTGATGTGGGGGGACGCAAGCTGGTGAGATGCGATCGCCGGCGCAAAATTGGTCTTATGGCATGTGAGATGGTCATGGGCTCATGGTGGCAATATGGCATAGGGCAACCAGTGCTTGGAAATCATGTGATACTGGCTGGTGGCAGGAGATGCTGAAAGCAACGGCCCGGTTATGTCACAATTATCTGTGGATTTCAGCTGGGCGCTGCTGTTCTTGAGGAAATGGAAGCGGTTGTGTTGTTGAAAGTTGAAACTGGAACAGAGCATGATGTGAGCTTTGCCTGGGCTTTTAGGAGAAACTGACATTATGGCAAAGAAACATTGCGGGGTTTGATGCAGGTTAGAATGCACTTCTAGAAGATTGCAAGGTACATGTAAATGTGGAATTTTCTACGACATGGCCAGTTGGACTGAGAAATGCGCTACAGATAAGCTCCTAGACTTTCATTGTGGTGGCAAGAGAACTTTTATGCTTGCAAGAAAGATATTCAAGTATACATTGGATGAGTTCAGACTGGTGATGACAGGGAGACTGAACTGAAATGCTGATTTTTTTTTTGACTGGTCATCGGGCAGAAGAGCTTCCCTACCTGAATTTTATAGACAATGGAGAACGGTATAATGTCAGTTCGTTACATTAGAGTGTAAGGAGGAAGAAAGAGTTTCTTTTCAGGATTCAACTACAATCCTATCGGCACAATTTAGGCGTTCAGCCCAAAGGGTCGCTTCTTCAAGGCATTTAGAGGCTAGCCTGGCTGTAGAGGGAGTTTGGTTCCGGAAGACGACATCGTGGCGGTGGTTCCATAGCCCCAAGAAGCACAATAGGTAAAAAACCTGGAAATGTTTGGCTGGAATCTGATTTGGTCTACGCAGATTGTGTAATTCTTGCATTGAGCTGATGTTTGGTTGGATCCCCAGCGAGCTCCAATGCAACAACAAAGGGACATTGGATGAAGAAGTGAGGAGCAGTTTCATTTGCGCCAGCACAGAGAACACATGTTGCTGATTGTACCACATTCTTCTTGAAGAGATTCAACTTGGTTGGGAGCCGTTCTTTAGAAAGTAGCCAAGCGAAGAATTGTACTTTCGGAGGAGCTCGGTTCTTCCAAATGAACGTCTAGTTCGCACAAGGTTGTCTTGGCCCTTTCAGGGCTTGATAGATTTGCTTCATCTTCAGTATACTAGCACCTCCGACTGCTTTTCTGGTATCTGCGTCTTCTCCCAATGATCTCTCCTGCCTGATTGCACACAATGCAGGGAACTGCTGCTGGGCCACCGTCGATAGTCTATGCACGATGATCTTCCAACTGGCCTATGAACATTTGGGCAACTTGTAGATTGTTTGTCTTTCACATGCTGATTTTAGTAAATGTGAATATATATGTATACCTGATAATCCTCGAGGTCTCGCTGGCAAGTGTTTCGGATGTCCATGCCAATGCAGTAGAAGGTATGGCTCCATGAGTCTTTCTGTGCCAGATGCTTCACATGTATTTGAAAGCTATAGAGCATTATTTGCACTTGAAGTCAGATGGATACCATTCTTAATGCAATAGGAATGTATCAAGCATGCTCCATTCCTCTGCCATGCACCTGTCACCAGAAAATTAGTTCTGCCAGTTGATTGAAAAGGACAAGTAGGTAGCGATATCACAGGTTGAGAACTCAGCTTACAGATAGACATCGCTTTCTTTGATTTCTTAATTCTTACTATATATTTGACCAGTAATCTTGATTAAAGTATACTATTGTTCCAGGAATAAGCATTAGAAGAGGTGAAATGTGGAAGAACTTGTTCTATGCTAAGCATGGATTGAATTCCGGCTGTTTGTTCTGATATCATCCAAGTCCATTGTGCATTACAAATACACCGAATTTGATCAAGTCAATTTTCCCAGTTATAGGCAAGCAGGTCCAAATATGAACTTGCACAGTTTTTTTTATTCATAGTGGAAATTTATCTTCCATCTACTTCATGCTTATTGGCAAGGATCATTCTCAAGGTTCTCAATTATTGGTGATCATTGAACAAGGTTACTGAGAGAGAAGAGAAGCACAACACAATGCTTCTTGAAGTCAATCCGCTTCGATAATCATGCGGGGGTTGTTTATCTATTTACAATCAATTTAGAGGTAAATCTCCTATCATTATTTTGTTCATGTGTATTTGTTCGCTGTGTCAATATGCCAACCATGTTCACAATGGGTAAATATTTGTACGCAAGACAAATATATATTTGACAACATATTCCTTTCCTTTACAGTAGCATTAACCACAAACTAAATCTCAGTTTCCATGTTATCCTCTATGAATATTATCTTTCTTAATCTCCAAATAAGAATTGATACTTCATATGTAAAATTTTAAAGTTATTGGTGTTACATCTCCATTTTTTTTTAATTTTTGTTCTCCATGACCTCTGTAAATCATGGTGGCTGGGTGACTGAGGAGGCATGATTTTTCACTAAAATAAGTGTTGGAGATGGGTACATAGTGAGAGTTCTTCTCTTAAACAAGACAATGCTGGCCTTCTCAAAGCTATCTTTAATATGGCTGAAATTTAATATATTTAACAGTATGAAATTTTTCAGTATTATTTGCAGTTGATACTAATCTTATCTTCAACTACAGTACTGCTTGTAAAGAATTAATGCACAGAACTAGCAGTTGTGTTGGATTCATTAAATATGTATGAGTATAGTGGCGTACTAAGGAGTATTTAGTAATCATAAATACTCTTTATTATGTACGCCATGTTAGGACAAACTACCATCTATCAAACTGTTTTGAGCATCACCGAGTTATATTTGATTAAGACATGCAAAATTAGGAACAGTTGCCCTTTGTCCTATGCAATGTACTCCTTTGTAATGGGGAAAAAGTGAAACACTACCATCAGAGTTCTTTTTTTTTTTACCCCAAAATGCGGCCGAATCATAATACAATCTATCTCAGTAGACTGTCCAACTTGGAAAATAGTTTTGGCTATGTATTTCAAAATCTGCATCAATATTTTAAAGAGACTAGCTGTTGTGTTACATTCTAAGACAAGTAACATTAACATTCCCAGCCAATCTTCTCTTCTTTTTTCTTTGGGTAAGGGGTCCAGTGGGTTTGATCAAATGAGGCTAAGGTTTGGCTCTTTGCCACAATGGTGGTGTGCCACTCTATTACCTGCCTGGCCAAATTCTCTGCCAAATCGTTTCAAAAAAAAAAAAAATCTGCTACAAAACCTGTGGCAAGCCACAGTATGTGTAAGGTGTAAAAACCATCCAAAACAACCTCTCAAGCTTTTGTTTGTGTTTAAGCTCATATTGTTAGACAATTTGTTGCCAATGTCACATAAGCCTGCAGAGTGTACAATATAATTATACCCAACTGACAGTCTTTTTATGGAAAAAGACATTTCCACATGACCCCTAACTTCTCTTTTGCCTTGGACCATTACGTTTAGCAAACAACAACATAACGCCCTGTAATGGTATTAATTAGTTACGGCTGAACTAACCCATTTTCGGCATTGAATACATTAAATTGATGTTCTTTTCCTGTTCTTAGATAGGATGCAGAATCTACTGAAATCACCCAAGCCTTTCATGCTTAGGAAAGAAATTTATGGACCGAATAGTGAAACAACCAAACTTTCTAGGTAACCACTAATTCCCTACCTTCCTTGCATTTACCCATAGCTGATGCTGTGCTGCCGTCACTGCAGGCTTCATACATGTCATTGCGTTCTTATATGGTTCATCTCAGCATAGGCTTGTCGTTTGCATGCAAATGGTGAAGATACATCACTTTGGTTTTTTGCTACCTGTGGCCTGAAAATGCAATTGAAACTCACAATATGCTAGTAAGTATGAAGGCAGACAGGACGTCACCAGAGAAGGCAGTAATTAACTAGCATTGCATCCTTTTACTGTTCCTCTGCATATAAGGTTATATGATGATTCAGTAGAGTCAGTGTTTTAACAGGCTATATGTAGAAAGGAAAGCATAAGTGATACTCCCTCCGTCTCATAAAGACTCTAATTTTAGGTTTCTGTGTCCAATATTTAACCGTCCGTCCTTTTTTAAAATTTTATGAGAAAATAAAAAAAATAGTCACGTATAAAGTTCTATTCATGTTTTATCATTCAATAACAATAAAAATACTAATCATAGAGTATTTTTAAAAAAGACAGAGTCAAAACGTTGTATCCAAAAACTGAAAAATGAAGTCTTTGTGGAAGAAGGGAGTAGCAAATCTGCTTGTAGGCCGTTCTGGACATCAGAACCCGTATCAATTTTGAGTGATGGGACTTTATGATGGTGCAGGGGAGCATCACCATCCTCGATTTGTTTTTTAATGGGAGCAGGGGAAGTACGCTTAATTAATCCCATTTACTACTTGATCGCCTCATTTGCATTGAAGCAATGTAGCATGTGCAGCACTCATACAGTAAATTGATCCACACACACAGCACACCCCACCCATAATCTAGCTCATCTATCATCACTACTGCTGAGTAGTAATTAACACATTTGTAGCTGCTTTCACTTGCTGTCTGTCACTCTCTCCCCCGCATTTTCTACTGTCATCTTTCTTAATTTGCTTTAGTGCAGAAGGCTGAGCGTCTCCAGCGGCTTGACGGTGGCCTCCAGCCGGCGACGCGGCGGCGTCCGCGGCATGGCCGGCGCCGGCACCGACGGCTGCACGAACTTGCAGTTGGGGCACGCCGGCGAGGACTTGCAGAGCATGACGAGGAGGTGGCAGTTGACGCACGGGACGGCCACCATTGGTCCCAACGAGCCTACGCCGCCACCGCCGCCGGCGATCCTCGCATCGTCCTCCGCGATGGCAGCGGCGCCGCCAGAGCTCGCCTTGCCGGCTCCGACGTGGAAGGTGGACGGGATCGTGGAGATGTTGAGCTCCAGGTCCAGAGTGTTGCTGCCGCCGTGCTCCTCCATGGGCCTCACCCAGCTCTTCCTCATGGTCTTCCTGTTCAGGTAGTACATCCTCCCAGACTGCAATAATACAGCACATACGCAAAATCTCTATCAAAAAATCATACGGTCATTAATTAGTCAAAAGATCGAAACTAATCATATGTGACACATCAACCCCTGATGATCATCATCATCAGCTTCATTATACATTTTGCTAGCGTCACCTAGCCGTCAGCATGTAATTAACCATTGTAGTGTAGTGGCACAGTGCCAGATTGCCACCAGGTAGGTACCACATAGCTTGTGTAGAGTTTTTCTGGTGCAACATGTTATTATTTAGAACGTTCGTACTCCCTCTATCTCTTATTTTTCACGAAATTATTTTGTTTGGCATATCAAGCAGATATGAAACGATAATAGCTTTGAATTTGAGCTATGCTGTAATGTCAAATTTTAGCCTGATTCTATCAACTACACCTGCAGTTTTTATGCTTCTTGATATGGCAAAATGTATGGCAAAATGTGCGGTGAAACAAGAGAGGATAATAACTGCAAAACGCAAGAAGCGTGTGTTTACTGCTACTGAATATTCATATGCATGGCTGTAAACTGAACTCACGTGTAGGTCAAGGCACTGCTCCCAGTCCATGGGGAGGGGGTCGTTGAGGTGGAGGTCCAGGCTCGCGTGGGACACGGCCTCCTCCCAGGCGAAGTGCTTCCTCCTCTTCCTGCTGCCGTCGTCGCTGCTGCCGTCCGACTCCGACGACGACGAGCTCTTGCCGGCGCCGGCACCGACGCCGAAGCCCAGCAACGTCGGCCCCAGGGAGAGCTCCGGCTGCACCTCCATCGACCGGCCGATCCTGTAAGCAATTCTGATCTCTTCGATCGTCTACTCTCTTCCAAGTTTTCTAGTTTCTACTGCTGCTGTCTGCTATAACTTATATATATAGTAATATACATATACTGCTCTTACTGCGATTGCTGTTGCTGCTGCTGCTTCTATTCTTGTTCTACAACTGCAAGATGGCAGCCGGGAACTCGAATTTTATAGGGGGTTGTTGTTGATGTCATGAGGGTGAGAGCGTGGTGCAGTAAAGAGGGAGGAGGATGAGCAGAGAGGAGAGGGGGGTTTCTTAAATGGCCTTCATCCAACGCCTCATTAAAAGAGTGGAGGGCAGTCTGGGCATTAAAGGGTGACAAGTAGTGAACTTAAATACTGTGGCTGCTAGTCTCTCCCTCTCTCAAATCTCTCCGGCCACCTCCTCCCCCATTTAAGCCGCCCTTGCACTGCATTGCATTACTAGCTCCGATCACTCTGCTGCTGCTGCGCGCCATAACGCCACCACCATCCGGCCGTGAGATGGCAGCAGCGGCGGCATGCAGTGCAGCTACTCACTTGCATACGCTACATGCATACATACATACATAGCCGTCATCAAATCTGTTGCCATCTGCTAGCTAGCTGCTGCTAGTAGTACGTACTCTTTTGTGTCCTAATAAAAATAAGTTCATTCCTATTTGTTTCAAAATAAATTTATTTTTTTTAAGTAATCGTTGTATTGAAGTTTATGAAATAACAGACGATAAATACTTTAAGAGTAAATAAAGTGACAAATAATCACATTGAGATTTGGTAAATAGGAGTATACTAGTTTTGTACATCCTCCGTCTCAAAATAATTACAACCCTCTAGTTTAAAATTTTAAAATAGAAGACTATTTATTTTGAGACGAAGAGAGTATAAGATAGGTAAGAAATAAATTTATTTTGGAACAGAAGTAGCTGCTTCTGCTACTGCTAGGAGGACGTATTGCTGCTGCTACTACACTACTACCCTGCTGGCTTGGCTGGCTGGCTCCTAATTAATCCCCTCCATTGTCGCAACTGTACCTGCTAGCTTCCTTCATATCCCACGCAAGCTTGCGTGCATGGCTTGCAAGGTGTTGGTGTACGTCCTAGGATCATAGATGTTCGGCGCGTGGTCACGTGCATATGCGTGCATCTATCTCTTGTGTTCTGGATGTGCATGATTCTCTTGATAGAAGGATAACTTGCACCATGTTTACTCGGATAGGAAGTATATATAAGAACCGGCACCTATGACTTTGGGAACCATTGGTGTCGGTTTTTACAATAAACTGGTACGGAAGAGTGGTTATAGGTATTGATTCTAATTTTACACTGGAAAAATGTGAAAAAAGCTTCATAGCCATGGTGTTTTGTGGTAGTGATAGTTTGGCGACAGATTCCCTATATATACTTCCTGTCCGAGTAAACATGGTGCAAGTTAGGAGTATAACTTTATTATCAATTAGCCTATGGTTCTAGGTATGATCTATGTGGCTATGTAGTGCTGGAATCTGGATTTACTGACAGCAAAAGAGTACAGTACGTAGTAGCTTATAATTAGTGCTCATCAAGCATGGCTCCTGACCTGACTGAGATTGCACGAGATAATAAAGGTAGTAGTTCGTGATCGGCTCAGGAGCAAAGTGAATCTAGCTAGCAAATACGAGTACTCCAGAACGCATGCAAGGCAGAGAGGAGGGTGCCTCTGCCTCACGCATGCCTTTATGCCTCTCATTTGTAATCGTCTGACCATCATCCTTTCTATGGCTACGCCATTAACTGTGTTATAATCATGAACTGCTTCTTGTGGGTGAGCATTCATGCATGGCCCCCTTTTGCATGATGTACTACACCCTAAATCTAATCCTCATAAAGAGAGGGGAGATATATGATGATATGGGGTAATGAAAACACGTCTCACTCACCACCCCCAACACCCATGCAGTAAATAGGGACAAGGCAGGTATTTGGGGAGGAATAAATAGGGGGCTTTGTTGGGCTGACCATTCTCTTGGGCTCTTCTCTAATTCCTTGTTGCTCTTTGCATTGTGATCTCCTCACCGATGCCAACCATAACAATAAATAGAGGCGCCTCTCTCTTTGGTCGTTGGGGCATGAATCTATTTAATGTTTGATGTTCCTTCCTTGGATATTAATTCTTCAGGACAGCTGATGTTGATTTGATGTGATTCGCTTTGTTCACAGGGATGATGGCTAATAGCATCATCAGTAGTAGTAGTAGTAGTAATTTGAACCAACAGTAGAGATACTGCATGCACATGTATATCATGCATGGTTTCTTGAATGTGTTAACATCCAAACCTTTATGCCTACCTGCATTTCCACTTTGAAGACCATACCTGATGTGGTGATGCTCATGAATGAATGCCCATTATTTTGCAGTTGAGCTAGCTATCATTAATTTCAGCTCCATTGTTGATTTTTTTATATACAGAAATATCTTTATTTTTAAATGTCGTTACAGTAATATATTGAATTCATTGGAAGGGCATACGAGGAAACAGTACACAATTTAGTTTGCACAGAGTGTTTTGTTGTCAATGATTTTGTCCTCCCTATTTCAAAAATATTTGGCCACAGTCCACATTGCATGTGTCGATGATATCAAGGACGTACTAAATATACGGAAAAAATTATGAGAAAAAACAGGAATAGCCTTGCTAAATGACATAACACTACAACCCTCTTCTTCAAAGCATTTAATTAGGGATAGGGAATGGACACATGGCAATAACTACATTCTTGATTTCCTCAAAGACAACATTTTAATAGACACTCAAGATATTGGACAAACATTTTTAAATTGAGGGCATATATACAACTTCAATAATTGGACCATATTTTGCATCTGTAATTTCCTCACCCTTTCAAAGATACTCTGTAGAAACTTAATACTCCCTCCATTCCATAATATAAGGCACAACTACTTTTTAAAGTTGTTTCATAATATAAAGCGTGCACACATGCATGTCATTAATTAGCACCTCTTTTGCACTAAAATATTATTATTTAAATCTTCCACCATCAAGATATCTAATTTTATTGGATGCATGCATTCTATTTATTAGGGTAATCCAAACTATGAGGTGATAATAATTATTTCTTGGTTTTTGGGTTAATGATGGTTGTGCCTTATATTTTGGAATAAAGGGAGTAAGACTATTTTAACTTTTAAGGAGTAAACTATAGATAGAAAAAAGTTCATTTTACTACCATAAACTTTGTTGAAGTCTAACAATGCACCCTTAACTTCAAAACTGGAGTCACTTCAGTCGTTTGAAAACTGTTCTCTTTCAACCTTGATCATATTATAGGTGGCATGGCACTAAAGTAGCCAACACTGAAACTAATTTAACTTCTAAAATTTGTAATGACTACAAAGTTCAAACATTTCAAAATAAATTCGCATTTGCACTGAGAAATATTCATAGCCTATATAAATATTGTAGAACTAAAATAAAATATAATTGTTCCCTAAAACATAGTGCTCCAAAATTAATACAACCATTTTGTTGCCTAAAAAATATATATTTCACTATAGACTTAGTTTTTGATTGTAGATATATCAGTTTGATTTTCTAGTCTATAAAGATTTTGAGTGAGTACGGAATTAGCTGCTCTTTTCTATGCTTCAGTAGTTTTCACTAACTGGGAATCTGCGGTGATCATAAACTCGCAAAATATCTCTTCTTACTTTATTTTATTTTACAGATGAATGGATGCTTAGCTTAGCATTTTACAGATGATTTTTTAGAAAGATATCTTTAAAAGTATTGTGGAATTGTTCTGTCAAGGTGTACATACATTATTGTAGTTCTAATAGTCACTTTTGTGCAAAGATACCCTGTTCTTTTTGTATTTTAGGCGCTTAATATTGAGCTTTTGATAAGCCTGGTCTTGCTCTTTAATCGTAATACATAGGTGAATAATCTGAATTGATTTTTCTGGGGTAATTGCTTGCAGTTTACTGGTTGTAACATTTTGATTACATTCATCTGCTTTGTCATTTAGAATTAGATTGCTTTCACTGTACAACATCACGCTATTGTAGACTCTAGCCCTGCTTGATAATCCTCACAGGCAATTAAAAGATCTGCTAGTTACTGACCGTAATGGTGTGTACTGGCTCCGTTGTATCTACTGGTTTGACCAACTTTTCGAATGATGCATCTATTAATCATTGATGATATATAATTTTTTTGTTCAAAATTAAAGAGATGTCAGGAAGAATTGATATAGTCTTTTCATTTGAATTGATGAATAGTAATTTTGAGTTGTAAATAATCATAAACTGGTCAAACTGGGTATCAACATATTTGCAGGAATATTTTCATATTTGAAGTTTTGAACGAGGGGTCAAGTTTGAGGACACCTTAGATGAGTTTTTGCACTGAAAACTGCTTCTTCTCAGGTTATGAATATTGTTGCCCTTGAATGCTATGCTAAATATCTCATGGATAAGATTCTTATTTTTCTTAGATTATGTCTATGATAAGTTGATAACTCTTGAGTTACGAGAAATCAGATTGACTTTGTGCTGAATTATAAAAATATAGACAAGCTTATTCTGCAAAATGACAATTTACTCCTTTCTGATTCTGTTCTTTCTTTTGAATGTATTCTTATTACATATACTTCCATTATATTATTAGAATAAAAAACATGGTTATTATTAGAATAAAAAATAACTTATATTTGTTTCCTTATAAGTATGCAAACCGGGTACATATGTACTGTATGTATGTATTTAGTTTTCTGCCTCTTTAGAAATAGTAATTTCATACTGAGTGTCTCTGTTCTCTGTTTTATATTTGTGCAGTTCTGTTTGTCGGCTGTATAACAAAACCGTTGAGAGAGTTTGATGATGTGGTACTCTCCTGCTTGACCATCATTTGCACCTCGCTTCTATGCAGACCAAGATTTGAAACAAATTATGTAAAAGATTATTAATTTGGTTATGGGAATGGCTACTGTACACTTTATGTAATTTAGACACTACATTTCTCTCACCATTCACTAATAACTCTGGTAGTGGGAATAGCGGGCGAAATTAAAGGACTCTTTAAAGTTTTTAAATTGATGTGCATGTACAGCATCATTAGGTTAGATCTCCTAGGAAATTAACTGTGGCATTTTTTTCTGATCAGAAGTTTCTTAGCAAGTTATGTTGCTGTCACATCTTGTACTATAACAGAAACTAACCCTTACATTGATCTGCTTTTTCTTTTTGGAAGGAGCAGTTCTTTAATTTCGGAACCATGGGACCTGGCTGCACCATTGAAGATGCTTGGATATGTCGTTAGATGATTAATTGCCTCCATTCTTAGCAAACAAATTCACAGATTCCCGGATGTTTGCTCGCTCTTCTTCAGTAACTGGGTCTCCTTGAACTTTGACAAGACTTCTGTCCAAGAGCATTTGAGTTAATTTTCTGTGCTGAAGCTTGACCTATGGTCACCAAACAGGATAATAAAGTGACGGTACGTACCTGAATTTGTGGATGATGATTTAGAGCATTGTTGCCAACTTGCCATGTGAATTGGTACTGTGCTATTCCCTGTTATCTTAAACCTTAGATTTTTCTGTTAAATGATTTTTCTGTTATCTATACAGTCTTTACAGTCGTAAACTACTCTATACAGTTTTGATTTGTGGATGGATGATGATATGTCGTTAGATGATTTTTCTGTTATCTATACAGTCTTAAACTACTCTTTGATTTATACAAATGCTAAATTTAATGCATATAGTATACATTCAGATATTTTAGTTCGATTTTTCTGAATGAAGTTTTGAATTAGCTCAACATGGATAACTCCATCTGTTCTTTTTTTTTTGTACCTGTCAAATGATCTTAGAGAAGGTGTGCATACACTGCTTCCCCAAGGGAGAAGAGACTGAACTCCTCAGAGACATATAGTGTCAGACTTGAGTTCATTGAATGCAGTACGTGTTCTTTTCTTGCCCCATACATCTCAACAGAAGATGTATACGAGACTACACCACCATGGCAGGCAGAAACGGTTGCATTCAACACACTACACCTACTGAAGTAAGATCCTCCTATACACCTCCATTACCTGTTTGCTCCGTTTGGTTCATCTTCCTCGCCGCCGGCATCGCTGGGCCTTTTGGTTGGTGACCTGAGCACCACGCCTGAAGAATTTGCACGCCTGAGAGGCATCCAACAAACTCATGGGTTCTACCTGACCAGGCAGCCTGACGAGTTGCTTGTTTGGTTTGCTGTTGCTGCCTGAGTAGATGATTACTGCTAACTCAAGTATTAGACGGGAAGAAAAAAAATCTCGAGAAAACGGCTTGGCGTCTCGGGAAAAATTTCACAAAATCCATATGCTACCTAGCTTTCCATTAATAAATCAATCACCTATACGAGGAAAATAATCTCCAAATCGCTTCTTTCCCTCAAAAAGAAAAATCCCCAAATCCAAACATCCAGCGAATTGCACGCATACAAACAACAAAGTCACAACAATGATCCGCAAAAATCAGCAGCATCAGGCATCAGCGGAAGCTTCACTCTAAGCTGGATCTGGCCAAGGGGATCGCGCGAAGCTTCACACAAACTCAACCAAGGCGGGGACTTCGCTCGACGACGACCACGACAGGGGCTTCGCTTGCCGGCGATGGAGGCTTCGCGCGACGGGCGCGGTGGCGATTGAGGTAGGTGTGGGCTTCACGCAGTGGCGGCAGGGGCAACCTCGTGCGATGGTGGCAGGAGCTCCGCGCGGTGATGGGCTAATGGCTGTGTACAGTTGAGATTTTGATGGTAAGCACGCATTTGTTGCGCCTGGAGCCTCAGGCGACCCAAAACGGTCTCCTGACTCAGGCTATTTGCACGCCAGTATCCGTCAGGCCAGGCTAGTGGAGAATAGTCTGAGGGTAGCAACCAAACAAGACCTATATCTGGTCAGGCTTATCTAAGGCCAGGCATGCTTCTCTAAGGGTAGCAACCAAACAGGTGCAATTCGCTCATCCATATGTGCGTGCGCCGCTACCAGATTCAGAAAGCTTCGTTTTAGAAGCAACAATCTTGCTACAAGGTACACCACAATTTAACACCGTTATCTGTACTGTATTGTACAGATGTAGTACCTCAGATCACATGGCACCTCCTTTGGATTGATTTTAAGGTTACAAGAGCCAAAAGTTCAAGTATTCATATGGCATGAATATTTCTAGGTAGGATGCAAGTGGGCTATCCTGCTATCGACATAAACCCACTTAATAGTTTGTTTTTTATATGATTATGTACAAAATTTGAATGAATAAATTAACTACAGTTAATAAGCATGAAAAAAAAACCCACTTACATCCCTACGCCTACTCTCTCATTGACAACCTTTAGAAAGTTAATACTCCCTCCTTCCCTAAATATTTGATGCCGTTGACTTTTTAAAACATGTTTGACCGTTCGCCTTATTCAAAAACTTCCGTGAAATATATAAAACTATATGTATATATAAAATTATATTTAATAATGAATTAAATGATAGGAAAAAAAATAATAATTACTTAAATTTATTTAATAAGACGAACGGTTGAACATATTTAAAAAAGTTAACGGCGTCAAACATTTAGGGACGGAGGGAGGAGTTTTTTTTGAAGGGTGAGAATTTTTCTGACAAAATTGATAGAACTAAAAGTTCAAACTATTTTACTATACATAATACAAAAGGGTGCTTCCCTTATCAACATGCTCGATAAGTGTACCAAAAGGCAAGAGTATAGTGGGTTCTATCGTTTTAATATGGACAAATAATTAGGGTCAAAACTACTTATGATAATCACGTATGATTTCATTTAACGATCTATGATGGATTATCTAGGACTAGTAAATAGTAATATGGCAGTGCGTCATAGCATTACAAGACTAGGTGTGAGTCTAGTCTAAGGCGTTGTTTACTTGGGGAAAATTTTTAGGTTTGGTTATCACATCGGATATACGGACACATATTTGAAATATTAAACGTAGTCTAATAACAAAACAAATACAGATTCCGCCAGGAAACTGCGAGACGAATTTATTAAGTTTAATTAATCTGTCATTAGCAAATGTTTATTTTAGCACCACATTATCAAAACATGGTACAATTAGGCTTAAAAGATTCGTCTCGTAATTTACACGCAATCTGTGTAATTGGTTTTTTACCTACATTTAATACTCAATGTATGTGTCTAAACATTCGATGTAACAACATGAAAATTTTTGTTTTTGGAACTAAACAGGGCCTAAAGCACACGATTTTTTTTAAAAAAAATATATTTCTGTTTTTCTCTATGGCACCAGGAAGAGCACAGGGAGAGGACGGATAACTCTGCTTTTGTTGTTAGCAGTGCATTGCTATGGACCCATAACATTAGGAGCCCCTTTGAATCGCATGAATGAGAAAACGTAGAAATAGGAAAAACGTAGGATTTTGATATGAATATAAGTGTAAAACAGAGGATTACAAAACACAGGAAAACACAAGAATGGTCGTTTGATTGGACCGCAGGAAAAACGTAGGAATTAGAGGAGAGAGAAAGACTAGAATAAAAGTTTCCATGAGGTTCTACCTCATATTAGAATTCCTCCAAAACTTGTATGGCATTAGACATTTCATAGGAATTCCATAGGATTCCATAAGATCCATTCCTTTGATTCAAAGAATTATATAGGAAAAATTTGTATAGGAATAAAATCCTCTAAAATTACTATGAATTTCCTTCGAATCAAAGGGGGCCTGGAAATGGGCTAGGCGTGCATCTAGTCTAAAGCACACGATTCTTTGTAACCAACTCTTTTTCTTTTTCCGTTTTTCTCCATGGTTCAGGGGAGAACGGAGGGAAAGGACGGATAACTTCGCTTTCATTGTTAAGTTATACCGTAGTAATGTTGTGTTTTTTTTGCCACTTATAATAGCAAGAAGATAGGTCAATTTGGATGCAGGGGTGGAGACAAGTATAGTGCAATTAGGACTTGAGTCTTAGGCTTGACTCCTTAATCCCTTGTAAAATCTTTTTAAAAGTTTATGGAATGTTTAAAGATTCAACAAATTGTATTGGTTAAGCCCTAATCTTTGTAAATTTCTTGCTCCGTCACTGTGTGGATGCATGGCACTGTAAGCAACTGAACTGCTCATTGGGTCACCTTAATTACCAGCCTCGTTATTGTTGTTTATATATAATCCCTGGTCTACAACAACCTGTTAGTTTTGATCTACTCCCTATTTTAACGTATGACGCCGTTAACTTTTCGACCAACGTTTGATCATTTTTTATTCAAAATTTTTGTGCAAATATGACATTTTTTGATGACGAATCAAGTCACAATAAAATAAATGAAAATTATATAAATTTTTTGAATAAGACGAATGATCAAACGTTAAAAAAAAGTCAACGACGTCATACATTAAAATATGGAGGGAGTAGAATATATGTCATCTTTCATCATTACTAAATATATGTAACTCCTTTCAGAAGGGGGTAAATGCTGATGGTGAGGTGATAAAATCTATCATCGCCAGCTCTATGAGAAAAGAATAATTTGGGATCACAAGACCATCAACCAATCTCACCATCGACTCTTTACTTATTTAAAAAAACGTATAGACCAAAAGGCTCAGATGCCAATTAAAATTATATATAATACATAAAGAGATGTTAATAATAGATTAATTATAATTTTCTTTAGTTACAATTTTGTTGCACCGTGTGAACAATATTTAGTATATAAAACACACAATAGGTCAAACCTCGTAACAAGTTGCTACTATCGTGTTAATTACAACAGCTCCAGTTTCACCTCTTCAGCTAGAGTATAGCCGAGTATAGCCAAACAGTTTTAGCTCCATTTAAAATGGGAGTAGGCTGGGTGAAGTTCTATCACAAAATGAACTAGAGAAATAGAGCTGACTGCTCCATAACTTTACTCCAGACCTAATTCCTGGAGCTAAATTTAGGAGTTGGAGTCCACCAAACAGGCCCGAGATGAAATCCATAGTTGAAATTGCAGCATTGAATGGCCGATCGATTAGGTTGGTTGCTCGTTCGACCGGCATTGGTGTAATGGAGGCCTGAGAGCAAGCATCCTGTACGGATATTTCCATAGCCGTACAAGCACCATCTTCCTTCAATCGCACAGTAACATAAAAACACAAATGACACGATATTGATATAAATTGGCGGGGTTGTTGGTCCTCCATCCACTAGAATCCAAATTATTTAAGACTAGATTTAAACACATGGGAAAAGTTCTATAAGGTTCTTGAAATTTATTGAGCATTTCTTCGACTTGATCAAGCTGAGTGAACCAAAGAAAATCAATACATGTAGTGTTTCAAACTGATGAAGATGAAGATTATGTTGACATACGTAAAACGAGAAAGCTATTAGTATATGATTAATTAAGTTTTAATTATGACAAAATTGATAAATGGATATATTTGATATTTTAATGCAACTTCTATATAGAACGTTTCTGCACGAAACAAATCGTTTAATAGTTTAAAAAACATGCTAACGTAAACCGAGATAAAATCTTAATCTTAATCTTAATCATTGTTGCTTTCGAGCGTAAATTAAGAGTATACGAGATGTTTTAGTGTTTTACTTTTGCATGTCAAAATTCCGATCAAACTCTGTAACAACGTTCGTTTGTATAAATTTTTATGCGGGATTTATGAAAAGGTAAATTTTACTACAGGACATCGCAACTTTATAGTTTTAGCTGTAGGACACTGCACGAATTCACTTTTGAGGGAATTCACTATCTAATCTTAGTTATTTGCCAGCGGACACCGCACCCATTAAAATAGTGTATTTGTACTGATGAGACAATATAGGACCCAAATTTTTACACAAAGTGACCAAATTGCCCCTCCTTTCTTTTTCTTTTCCTCTTCCCGTTTCTCTCTTCTTCCTTATCTCTTCCTCTGTCTCCCTCCACGGCGTCTCACAGGTGAAGCGCCGCCCACGGCTCAAGATGACGGGCGCGGGGTGAGAAAGTCCCAACCGGCGGCGGCCGTGGTCGTCGGGCGAGCCTCCTGCTAGGTGCGCCGCGTCAGACGCCACCGTGAGACGGCTGTCACTAGCCAAGCTGTCGCCACCGTTGTTCGCCGCGGAAGCAGCCGCCATGGCGACATGCGCGCGAGGAGGACTCCAGCTCGGCAGCTCCATTGCCATTGTTCAGCTCAGACCGTTTGATCTCGTCAAAGCCTCAAAAATAACTCCTCTGCAAAAATCAAAAGGATACATGCATGTGTGCATTCCGAAATGGTTAGCTAGCTTTGCGCGCGATCTTGAATTATCTGGTGCTTACGGCCGGTATGTTGGAGTCGTCAGGCGAAGGGGGAGCATCGGCGTCTGGTGATCTGACAACGCAGAGCTTGTGTAGCGCCCGACAGTGCGCACTGTAGGGAAAGAAGGCGATGTCGGTGCAGCGACAAGCAGCGATCTGGAAGACAAGCAATCGCAGCAGCGACGTTAGAAGGGGAAATAGGGAAGAAGAGAAAGAGTTAGGGGTATTTTTGACCTTTCATGCTCTTTATCTCTCTTATTCAACCAGAAATTAATATTTCAATGCGTACGGTGTCTATCAATAAATAACCACGTTTAGGGAGTGTTTTCCCTAAAAAGTGAGTTCGAGCGGTGTCCTACAAGCTACAGCTAAAACCATAAAGTTGGGATATCCTATAGCAAAATTTACCTTATGAAAATAGTACTACATATGTATAGATGTGACTCAAGAGTCGTTTTCATTTAATCCTAATTTCACTAGGTTTAAGTGTTTAACACCATAGTACAATATAAAATATAAAATAGCGGCAAAGTGTCATTCTAAAATAATGATGAAAGGCTACT